AAGACTTACTAGAAACCATTTATCATGCTATTCTTGAAAAGCATTTATACTCCTTACCTTTTTTTCTTATGGCAAGCACAATGACTACAACCTGTTCCTCTTATTGTGTAAATTTAGCATACAAATAGATCATAAGCAAAATGAAATCAATACCACATTGCTGAAGCCTTGATTCATCAACCTTTAATGCCCATTTCTTCACAATAACAACTAATCAACTCCTATTCTCCATTGACGCAGCAGCATGAAATCAAACCAACTCAAGGCGGGTACTATTTAGCAACCAAGGGGAGGGTTTAAAGTTCTCCTTTGACTTGCAGTATGATTTCCTCGACCTCATCCCATAATTCTTAGATTGTGGAAAAGGTTCAATTTCAGGATAGATGCCGATTTGTTATAAAGAGAGTTTCCAGCTAAAAGAGAGACTTTTAAGTACTACCTCCCCATATAGTATACATAAATTTGACTAACCAATCATTTTCGTACAGTAAATTCAGTGCATGGTGTACCGTGAAGCTAAATTGAGGTCAAAACAGACTAAACCGATCTAGAGATCTCTATGCACTCCTAATATGACAATAAAATCATATCCTTGTTATTTCTGCCAAATTTTATATGAAGAAATCATTGATCTCCATGGGAAGACATTTCATAGGATAAATGTCATCAAATAAACAAGTGATTAGCTAATAACTAGCAACATTCACTTGAAATCGCCAACAGTTAGAAAAACCAATGGGTTAATGAAAACTTGACAATTACTATAAAGTAACAACATATGAGGCTCAGGTTTCTAATCAAGAGGGTATATATATATATATATCTGGATAAATAGATCGCCCAGTATAATCACACTTGAGCTCTTTCGATAGATAGAAGTGATCATCCACTGACATGGCCATGTTTGAGGAATAAAATCAAAATGGGCTTTCGAAGAGATCGCTGAGTGATTTATAGCTCCGGACCTCCGGTCTTGAAATTTTAATGAATTTGAAAGAAATTGTATTGAGAAGTAATCTACATGAAAATTGTGATAAGTCTATTTGTGTCAAGGTCCTGGATATGTAACCGCTCAAGATATCATCTTACCACCTTATGTCAAAATGTTTGATAATACACAACATATAGCTAGCTTGATGAGACCAGCATCTTAACTCATTAAAATTTATTTTCAATTTAAGTAAAATGTAGCTATATCCTAGTGTCATAAAATGCTTTTATAAACAACTTTATCATCATTGTATCAAAATTCACAAATAAAGAACCTAACAAAATGGGTTGTTAATTTCATGATTCAGGTAATATGTTAGAACCTATCCTAGTCTCTAGGATAACAACTTTTAAACTAATATATGAACCTTGTTCACTTCTTAATTTATAGTCAATTGATTTTGAGTTAGATGCTTTGACGAAATTATGAAGCTAATAGATAGAAAACAAGACTTGCCAACAAAAAGTTATGGGAAATTTCCAAATTCCTAAGAGGAAAACAGGGAACCAAAAAGAAACATAATTAACTAACTGCACAAAAGATTTGCAAAATCACATCAAATATGATATCTTCATCCAACCGTATTAGTGAGAGACTACATCAAACCAAAAGGAATGTGTAACCATACAACATGGTAATCTCTTACCCGAGCAAATTATACATAACATAGATCTGCAAATACACGAGTATGACTAACCCATTCTGATTCTCTTTACAGCCAGCAGAGAGATAGAGAGAGAGAGAGATGCAATAGGCCCCGGCCGCCGCGTGCCGGTGGTGGTAGTGGTGTCAAGACGTGAAGTAGAAGACAGGGTGGAGAATCAGGCCGAGGAGTTTGAAACAAGCGCAAGAGACTGACAGAAACACCAGTCCGTACACAATTCGGAGAGCCATGAATACAGCAGACTGAAATCGACTGATTAAGATCAAAACCTGGTTATGAGAGTCGAGAGAGAGAGAGAAGGGTGGAGTTTGAACTGTGAATAGGAAAAGGGCTAATGCTTCTTTTGACTTTCACAATTTTGTAGGAGAAGTCGAGTGGTAGTTTTTATATAATAAAACAAAATAAAATAAAATTTTTTACACTGAACATTAAGGGTCCATAGCTCAGTGGTAGAGCATTTGACTGCAGATCAAGAGGTCACCGGTTCGAACCCGGTTGGGCCCTTTTTGGTTATAATTTTCTTTCTCTTTTTTTTTTTTGAATTTTCTTCTCATATATTTATTTTTTTCCTTGTATAATATATAAACCCTCAATTTACGGACGACAGTTAATTTGGGTGGTTAAGATTTTTCAACTTCACCCAGAGTTTGAAATTTGTTAAATATAAAAATGTTACAATGAAAGCAATAATAAAATTTTGTACCATGTTTAAGACACTACGTTTACTAATTTCGAAAATTTTGTAAGATGCTACTTTTATTGGGTTTCCAAAGTTGCTCTTAGAGTTTCGATGGCATGCTACATTTCGTCCCACACCTTATTATTTCGAAAGTGCATCACTAATTTATATAATCTTTTTCATAGTTATATTTATACTACTAATAAAAGTACATTAAGATAAAAAAAATTTAATTCATTATTTTACCATCATAAAGAATTAAAAAGACTATTTTATCCTTTCACGCTTAATATTTAAATTATCATCATATTCTTATGCATTTTCAATCTCCAAATTACATATAAGATCACTTTTAATTATCCATTTTATACTTATAAATATAATTTTTTATGAAATTTTTTGCTTGGCTATATTACTTTTAAAAAATGTATGCATCATTATATGTTTTAATAAAATATTCAAAAAAAACCTTTAAAAACTCCATCAATCTATCATTATTCATCTCATTTATAAAGATAACATTATGACTACATATGTATATTTTATTTTTCATCAAAATTTTTAACCTTTTAATTTTTAAGATAAAAAATAATGTATATATAGTTTTACATGATTCTTCAGTCACAAAATTTTTTTTCAAACTGTGTTAAGATTTTAAGTGAAAATAGATTGTAGTATATTTTTAAGGAAAACTTAAATTTGTTTTTAAAATTTTAATATGCTTTATTATATATTATAGTGTAATATATTAAATATTATCTTAATTGACCTAACTAATTCTAAATATAGTAATGTTTCAATATGATTAGTATATTGATAATTATTTGTATTTTATTCAATGACTATGTTATTGTTTATATCTGAAGGCACAGAATAATAAAAAATGGTAAATAATAAACATATTTGTATTCATATCTAAAATTAAATCACAAATATATTGGAGAAATAAATGAATTTAAACATCAATTGAAATGGCGCGTGAGGGGTGGTGGGTAACAGTGGTGATGGTAGGAGACGGCGATGGCAGCGATGGCAGTGACGATAGTGGTGGTGGTGGTGGGGGGGGGGGGTGGCGATGGCGGTAGCGGTTGTGGTGGCAGAGTAGGTAGAGATGGTGCAGGCGATGAGGGTGGTGGTAGAAGTAGTGACGGTGGTGGCGGTGGTGGCGATGGTGGTAATGGAGGCGATGACAGTGATGGGGGTGGCGGCGGCGATGGCGGTGCTGATGGGGGCGGCAGTGGCGGTGGTGGTGATGGGGGGGGTAACGATGGTGGTGGCGACGGTGGATGCTGTGGTGGTAGAGGTAGTGGGGATGGTGGTGGCAATGGTAGAGGTAATGGTGGTGGTGGCAACTGTGGTTATAGAGGTAGTGGGGGTGGTGGCGATTGTGGTTATAGAGGTAGTGGGGATGGTGGCGACCGTGGTTGTAGAGGTAGTGGGGGCGATGTTAGCGGTGGTAGAGATAGTGGTGGTGGTAGCGACGACAACGATGATGGTGGGGGCGGTGGTGATGGTGGTGGCGACGATGGTGGCGATGGAGGTGGTGGTGGTAGAGATGGTGATGGTGGTGGCGACGGTGGTGGTGGCGGTGGTGGTAGAAGTAGTGGTGGAGCGGTTTCAAACACTATTTTTTTTTAAAAGTACTTATGAAAAATAATTCTTATAAATACTTTTAAAAAGTCACTCCAAAACACCCTTAGGGTCCTATTTTTTCTATTAAATTTAAAGTGTTAATATTAACCGTTAGATTAACTTTAAAGTAAAATTTAAAGCGATTCGAACCGCGAAAAAAAAATCATTTTGTTTATCTTTTAAAATTTGAATCGTAAACTATTTTATTATATAGATATATAAACATAATCTTAATCAAATTAATTTTAAAAATTTTAATTTTCAAACATCACTAAAATATCACTTTCAATTACAAAATTATTGAAACAAAATTAGATTTTTAATTATTTCTTTTCTTTTTTATCCTTTTTCTTGAAGTTAAAACAACAAATCTTTGGAAGATATAAAGTTTTCAAAAATTCTATAATAGAGTATAAGCGATATAAAAATAAGTTTGATAAATCTGAGATGATATTTAATTTAAGTACACATATACTAAATATTTATTTATTAATTTTTGTCTAAAAAATTATTTACGTGCAACACACGTAGTGCATTGCTAGTTATTACTAATAAAAGTACTTTAGGATGAAAAACTTTTGAATTTCTACTTTACCTTTATAAAGAATTCCAAAATCCATTCTATCCTTTTATAATTAAATATCTATATTATTATTATATTCTTATATATTTAAATCTCGAAATTATCTATAACGTATCTTTTAATTATATATTCTCTACGGGCCAACTATCCTTATTTATCAGAGAACATGTTCTAAACTCGCTTGACCTACAATAACTAATATCCGAACTCGAGAGAATAATCAACATAAACCTAAACACCAAAAAATAAAAACCCCCTGCCGTTTCCATCACAGTAGTCAAGTATTTGAACAATTGGAACTCCAGTGAACCTTGCAAGAGCTACAGAGATGCCAATTCAGGTCAGCTTGCAAATGGAAGCATAGAAAGAAAATTGTGCTCACGCCTACCACTAGCATGATTGGAACAGAAATCCGAATGCCAAATCATAACAGAAACAAGATATGCCAATACACAGACACATAGATGAACGGGAAATTATTTTCTGCTTTATAAGAAATATGTGTAATGTAATTAACAAGCCATCTAGAATGGATCAATAGTATAATATGTGTATTAAACATTTATTCTAGGAGAAAAAAAGAGATTAAGATGCTGGATCTTCAAAGTCGGGCTGGATTGGGAGTCACGTCTAGCAGACCCAGGTTGTATGGTCGATTGGCCCTGCTCCGTTTAACCATGTCTGATGCACATGTACCCAAGTGAGCCCTTCTACCACACTCACATCCTGAATGCAACAAATGCATATCAACACGGTCAAATGTACTTGTTAGTAGAATCATGCAACACTATAATCTCAAACATTACCTTGGAACTTTTTTCTTTGGGAAGTAACTTACCTTGGAACTTAATAAAGCCGTGGTCATGCAACACTGCCACTCTTCACCTGCATGAATCAGCTAGCGCTTTTAGAGCAAATTCTAGGCACGTAGGAAAATTAATAAACAATATCCGACTGAAAACAGAGTATCCAGTCATTTAAATGAGCACAACAACTCTTCCTTTTTTATTCCCCTTTATTGGTAAAGAGATTTGATCTATGGACAGTTGAACAATATCAGTCAAATACGAGATATCACAAGAATAAAAGGCAGTAGGAAACAAAACTATACAAAAAAGACACATGTGGAACTGGCCTAAATTAGTCACTTGGTAGATGAGATTGCCTCTTTGATAAAACTCTTGCACATGTCACCTTTTATTTTCCTTGTTGGCATACTCACTTTTTACCGAGGTTTATGCAAAATCGATGTATGTCATTTTTCATTGCAATTGTACTTGTATGTCGCTAAAACAAAGTCTGAGTCGAAACATCAAAAGCTTGAAGTTTATGTGTAGGCGAGTGCTCAAGAGCAAGGCAGGTGTACAAATGTATGCCTTGCTCTTCTTCTCTACCCACATCTCTATAACCAAAAGGATTAAATTTTTTAATCTTCCTCTTCTCTCCTTTTTCCTCACTTTTTTTCTTCTTTATAGTAAGAAATTTTTTTCTTCTTTATAGTAAGAAATCGAGTTCTTCACATAATCGTGCCTCAAATCACTAATGATAGGCATTTTTTTTATGACCACATATGTTTAACTGTCACTGCCAAAGATGACTTCAAGTTTCTGGTGACTCCGTCACTAGTAAGTGAAACTATTGGCCCATGTACTCTGTTTTTAACTTTAGAAACATAATTATGATGTCAACAACAAATAATATAAACAAAAGCAGAATAGAATCTTAAAAGAATACACAATATTGTGGTCCATTTAGAAGAAATTTAAACAAACCATGGCATCGACTAGTCTGATAATGCACTGAAGGGAAGACAAAGTAAAAGAGGAAAAGACAGCAGGTAAGAACTAGCAAAGGCAAAGAGCACCTCATGATGCAAAGATGTCTTACCAGATAGTTCCCACTTCTTGAACCGAACTAGCCATGCATCTGAACAAATCTGTTCAGGTAAAACCTGATCAACCCAAACCCGAAATTGTTTTCCTTGTTTGTCTCCATAGCATCTCCTCAATGAATCAATGCACTCATGCAGAGATTGCTCAACACCAGATGGGTGGACAAAAACACCAGAGGGATACTGCAAGAGCAAAAATATTGACCATGGCATCAGCGCTAAATTAGTGGAAATTGGGGGGAGGGGGAACAAAAGTAAACTCACGTTCAAGCCAAGGCTGAAATGGCAAATACTACGACATGTTCCAGAAAAGAAACCATGACATCAAAAAAGTAAATGTTGAATGAACCCAGGGCTGTAACTAGTTTCTAGTAAAATTAAGACTAATATTTCCTAGCCGCTTTTCAAATTCTAAGTTTATGCCATCAAATTCAATTTATTAACTGTGCAACTTCAGATGAACCACTCTCTAAAGAGTGCATGATTCCATCCCAAGATGCATGCAAAGACAAAAAAACAAGACATAAACAATTTAAAATTTTCACCATGTGATACTAAAAGCAATTCTTCATTATTTTAGAATTTCATCAGTTAAAATAGTATTAGGCTTTGTAAGAAGGAAGGAGAAGAAGAAGAGGAGGCAAGAGAGAAAGAGAAGAAGAGAGGAAAGAATAATATGTGTTGGTTAGGTTGTCCTACACTCTCTCATTTATAACTGGGTAATAAATAAAGTAATTACAATATTACCCTACACTAATTCACTTTTTTCTAATATAGAAAATAAGAACTCTAACATCATCAAAACAACATCAATACGATCATTAGTTTGTGCAACAAATGAAGCGGGCATATGCTTAACCTCGACTCATTCAACATGCTTATCTAGGATAAGACTATATATCAGCACAGGATTGGTGTCAAAATTTTACCTGAGATATGATAGCAAATGCCAAATCTCAGCAATAAAATTGAGTAAAAATCAGTAAAATGATGGGCTTTGTAAAGTTACTTAGCCAAGCGAAAATATAATGTAGTTTGATCTCAAAAAATATACTCACAATCCACTAAACCATGAAAAATATGAATAGATACACTATATGCTTATTAGACTATAAATTGCAGTTTGAAGGATATCAGACATACAGAAACTGCTTTCAGATTTGCCACAAATAGTTCAGAATTCTCGACTTCTGCACGCCTCCATCTCTCGAAAAACAAGTAATACTTCACTACTTCATAAGCAGGATCGAAGTTCTCCAACTTAGAGTCTGACAAGTCTGTGACATCTCTAGGAGATGTATTTGGACCCAGGCCAAAGTGACCAATGGCTTGTATAATACCCGCCGCACACCTTTCACTCGCATGAATTATTTTTGGGTTATCTTTAGCATTTGCAGTATGCCACTGCAATAATTCTTCCTGCGCATTACTGACCTGCAAGACAAAATTTTATTTAAAGAAAGCAATCATGAAGACAAACTCCAGAAATTTTCAAGATTATAAAGAACAAATACGTGATAAAGAATTAGGAGAACTACCAACCATGACACCATATACATCTGGAATGCTAAATAGTTCAGCATCGTTACCAGAGTCACCACAAACAAGAGTGTTATGAGGCAATTTGTCCTCAGTCTTAAACTTTTCAAGGAGATAAGCAAGAGCTTTCCCTTTACCAGCACCTTGTGGCAATATATCTAAATCCATCCCTCCACTGTAAATTATTTTAGCATCCAGCTGTTCAAAACAAAGCAAAAAACTCAAAGTAAGAAGGAATGGGAAATAAGTTTTCACATTATAAAGGCGATATTTAAACTTTTATCTCAGGCAAATAAAAAATAGAAATTAAAATTTTCAAATGTAAATCAATATAGCTGAATGTTGAGACAACAAAACAGCAGTGGAAAAAGTCTATCTTACCCCACGTTTTTCTAAACGCTCAGACAGAGCCTTCATTACTTCCTGTGCCTTGTCTTTCTGAACATAGAAGCTAACCTTGTGTGGTCGTTGCTCCGTTTCTGACTGCATTAGCCCAAAATTGTAAATTCTTTTCACGTTACTTCCAAATGTCAGCCAAAAAAACTTATAACATTAAAGAGATACCGATCAACTACACTGATCTAAAAATCAACAACCAGATGCTACTTGCTACGAGCTATACCTGAAGAGTAAGTTCAGAAAATTTTCTTGTTTCCTCAACAACTATATTCTTGTCCCATTTCTGATTTAAGAATTCAACCCATCCATCATCTGGCACCATTGAATTACCATATGTTATCTCAGTTCCTACAGACATTATGGTTATGTCTGGAGTTAGCATCGGCTTCTCTTTCCTCAACTGTTTGTACAATGTCGGTGATCTTCCAGTTGAGAACACCAGCAGAGAATCATGACGATAATTGGCTTCCCACAAGGCATTAAACCTAAGCAGGGAAAGGTTCTCAGAGTCATGATGATCCACCTGCAAATCATCTTCCCCAATAAGTTCACCAGTATAGTATAATCCAAAGCAAACAATGATAATAATACCCACCATCGTAAGGTCAAGATCTGAAACTATCATGAGACGTGCAGAACTTGCAAGCCGATTCATGATCGTTCTTATATCACCTTAACTCTGCCAAAAATAAGCAACTATTACCAAGGATTCATGTAATTCTGAATAAATTGAGCAATTTTACAATGACAAAAGCATTCTCATGATTATGGTAGTGACTAAATTGATTGAACAACCCTCAAGAATTTGTATGATATTATGCAAGACTAAGAGCAAGAGTATTGAATAAGTATCTACTTATTACTTAAACTTACTCAACGAAAAAATACAGACAAAATAGAGAATTAAAACAAAATCGATTTGAGACAAAATAGCTAAAGTAGACTGTGTCTGCCAAACTGACATTGTTGTGCAATATAAACCCTAACTTTGGTTTCCGGTAATTTGTTAAAATATGGGGAAATGTCTATTTAGAGAAACAAAAAGAGCCCAAATTGTTGTATAACTTGCTACCTCTAACAAATTATTACTAAGAAAAGATAATCATACTACCAAACTAAACAATAGAATACAAACAGATCAAAACCTAACAAAGGGAAACTAATAGCTCAATTCCAAACATCAAACAAGACGTATAAATAAGATAAAGACAATACTTAACCGATAATTAGGCACTTTTTATCTGGATAGTTGGGTACACAAAGAACCCCAGAATCTCAATTTCTCATTAAATTCACTAAGGATGCACCAAATTCATATGGCCACAAAAACCCACCAAGGGATGCAGAGGTCTTGCATCAATCGAATTGAATTTTCACCAAAGGTTTCAGGAAAACATACAAATAGAACGGAAAAAATCAACCCTCCGTAGATGAATGAGAGAGAGAGAGAGAGTTACAATAGTTGGTGTGTGCGCGTGTGTTGTGTAGAGGGAGAGAGACAGTAGAATTACCAAATATTACAGAAGTAATATTTGTTGCTCAAAGGAGGAGAAACGAAAACCGAAAATACCCAACTGTGAAAGTGATGTGTATGTGTGTGTGAGAGAGAGAGAGAGAGTTCAGTTATGCTTTGTGGCCTTCAAATTGGTTGGGTTGGGTGGAAGGAAGATAATGGGACCGAGTATTGGATCCAAATTCTTTGGCGCTTCTTTTGTGTTGTGCAAGCAAAGGCCACAAGGATGTTTCTGTGTGTGTACCTTATATTTGGTAAAATGGCATATTCCAGAGGAAGAATGCAAGATGACTTTTAAGATTTATTTTTTTTTTTTTGTGGAAAGAAATATATATATATAAGAGTAATGTTATATTTACCAAAACTTTCACCAAAAATCAACTGAAAACATCACATTTGTGTCGACATTGATCAAAACTTGAGGACCCGCAGTTATGGGTGTCAAACGTGTCGAATTAAACAGTTACATGTCAGGTTAAACGGTTGACGGGTAAATAAAATGTAAACCCACACACGACCCATTTAATAAACGAGTGAAAAACTTCAACACGAACACGAACCATTCGTATTCTTGTTGAACCGTTTAAGTTCAAATGATTGCATGTTAGATCTAGAAAGGAGTGAATTCGTTAATTAAAATTTAAGTTTAAATGACTACCAATTTTAACTTGTATCTACCACAGTTGCCTTATCACACAATGGTATGAAAGTTAAGTGTATGAACCCCTTTTCAAACATTACAACCTAAAACACTCATAAAGATTAGTGTATTGATTTTATCAAAAAAACACTCGATACTCAATCTCTCAGGAGGATCTTAACCAAGGCAATCGAACTCAATCAACCAAACAATTATGAGTATTCAATCAAGCATTAAAATAAACACTTAGTACCCGTGTGCACATCAAATTGCAAGTGTGTACAATAATAAAAAAGATTAAACACAAGCAAACTGTTGACGCGAAAACCCTTCTCTGAAAAAATCATGGAGAACCTCTCTAGGGTTCACCAAAACCTAATCCATTAATCAAAAATTAATCTACAAATACTCGAATCTTATACCTCAACCAATCCACATGGCTTGATGCAACTTTCCTTCAGTAGATCTCTTTGTCGAAAATCCCTCTTCTACGTTATGGCTAGTTCCCTTGAACTCACTATCGTATGATTTGTTTAGGCCTCAAGCTATCTTCAAAACTTCACACCTTAAACCTCTTGGTATGCACACTCTCCAATGGACTTGGTTTCATCCAACAAATTTCTTCTTCTACAAGATGTAAGATTGGATAGGAATCACAAGAAGGTAGACTTTAGATCTAAGAATGTGGTTGAAGCTCTCTAGAAAGATTTAGATATTTTCTAACTCATAGAGACTTACCTTAGGTGCTAGAAAGACTTTTCTTATGTATAAATCCAGAATAATGACAATCTTGATCAACAAGAAAATACATTCACGAACAACCACTAGAGCAGCGAGAGGGTGGTGGTCACTAGAATGAAAAATTTATTCCAAGCTGACCTAGGAGAGCAGGACTGCTCAAGTGGCCTTTAAGGGAAACCCAAAATTGTCCTCCATTTAGCATTTGCCCAATTTTTCTCTAAGTTATGAAGACATCGCTCTACCAAGTCTAGCGAGTATAGAGCAGTCTCTGCTAGATTTTTAAGCCTAAAAAAAGAAAAAAAATATATATTCTCTTGAACACTAAAGGGGTATTGCTCAAAAGAGATCCGATGATGAGTTAATTTTGTGTTTTCAAAACACACAAGAGGTTTAGAAAAAAATTTATTTGAAGAACACCTAAGACCCATTCTTAGATCTAATACCAATTTCATTTTAACACTAATCCTCTTAAGTTTATTAAATCAAGGGATCATCTTAGGTCTCTAGATTATTAACTTGTCCTAAGCATGAAGGTACATACTGAGTACTTTTGATGTTACTTTGATGCATGATTTTCTCTCTTCAAGTAATGTTTTCAGATCTTTATCAATATAGCATCTTGACCGTAAAATAGATTGAGATTTATAGATGACTCTACAAAATTAATTGTGCGTGCTAGATTTTGCACAATATAAAAACGAGAATAGATCTCTCCCTTGGTGAACTCGAGTGAGTCAGTTGAGTGGTCAACCACGCTGCTTAGAACAGCCTGTGAGATCCGGTGGTAACCTGGAATGGTAATGGGAGACCCTCGCGGATCAAAGGAACGATCCAGTAAGGCTGAAGAAAGGTTCCTGGAACAAAGAAGAACAAGTTAGAAGGGCGCCGGAGTGTTTTTCGGCGTATCCCCTCCGACGATCAAGTCAGTTTTTGAGAGAGAGGAAGAAGAAAACACTGAGTATAATTTGTAGCAAAAGTTTCACCTCTTTTTCTTGCCTTTAGTGAGGAGTATTTATACCTCAAATACTCATGATTGCTGTCAGTGTGGTCAGTAGGTGATCATTAGATACAGGCAACGTGCGCACTGATTCCTATGAGGAATGTCTTCTCTCTTAACTGCTCGGGACCCCGAGCAATCAAGACTGTGTCATCGGCCTGCCGACGGTTCAATGAGCTCCTCTCGGGGAGGATGCAATAAATGCCCAGCTTAGAGACATTTATTGTCTTTCACTTCTGAGCCTTACCGCATTGAATGCAGTCTCATCAAGGGAATGGTGTAATTAAATGCTTGTTTTCCCAAGTCGCGTGTCAGCAAGGTCATGCGGTCTTTCTGTCTCTGATGTGACACAATATGCCACGCGTCCATTCCTCATTGGCTGTGGCCCCTGCCTTCCTGTGCCTTCTGACACCAATTGTGTAAGACGAGGTCATGATAGCTAACCTAGCCTAGCCTAGGCTAGTGACCAGTGCATCAATAACCTCTGCTGGAGCAGAGAACTTCATAATTGATGAGAGAGGTACATCTCGGTACTGAGGTAGAGGTACATCTCAGAGCCGAGGAAGAGGTACATCTCAGAAACTGAGGAATAGGTACATCTTGAATCCGAAAGGGGGAGGCCTAGGGACTGATGTACCATATCAGACCGAGGGTACGTGTCGGTACATAAAAATGTACTGGATGCCACTCGATCCCATGATAAGTACCTCGGGGTAGAGGGGACTTGTGATCCGATGAGTACGTGATCTCGATTAACAAGGATCAGTGACACCGAGGACACGTGTCTTCATCTTGGAGTATTCCAGAAATGTCCCATCAACTGCCCCCCAGCCTTCGATCTTCTGACACCGAGGACACGCGTTGTAAGGAGACGAAGGGTTTTGCAACAACCCCAACTGCTTCATCATTGCCCCTAGCCGTTTTTCCTGCTTAGGATGTCGTGCGCATTAAATGCGCCGTTTCGTGCTTCGCGCCCAATGATGGGATAGGTGCTATATATAAAGGGGCTTTCTCTCTTCTTTTCTCATTTCATCGTTCTGAACTTTTCTTCACAGAGAGCCCTTGCCTGAATCTTCGCCGGAGACCTCTTTCCTTCCGTTTGTCAACTGCCCAACCTTTTCACTGAAGCTTTAAAGCCAGCAGACCCATCCTTGCTTCTGAACATTCTTGGAAGGAGTCGATTCAAGTTTTCCAGAAAAAACCTCTTTTTACACTCTGGTGAGTCCCAGTATCTTCCCTTTCTTTGCCCTTCTGTCTCTTTTGGTTTTTCGATCACCGGAGGTGTTTTCTGGTTGCCCTTCAGCGACCAATCCCCGGAAGCCTTCTTGGGGATCTTCGTGGAAAAGACCCCCTCTATTTTTTATCACTTTTTGAAGATGCCTCGTCGTCGCCCTGCCCCCGAGAACCCTCAGGCCAGTACTTCGAGGCCAGGGAAGTATAAAGTAAAAGGTGGTGAACAAATTAATAGATTTAGGGTTAAGTACAGCGTTCCCCCGAATGTAGACATAGAGGATTATGACCCGGCTGTGCACCCTCGTACCCTCGGTACCGAGGACGCAATGCCTTTTTTTATCAAAGCCATCATAGAAGGTGGGATTAGGTTCCCTTTGCCCCCTCTGCTTCTCCAGTTCCTCTCTCATTTCGCCTCTTTCCCGGGCAGTGTTGCCTTAATGTCTTTAGGATAATTATGGGGTCCTAGAGCTCAATAGGCGTCTTGGGGTAAACGTCGGGCTGAACGATATCCTTTTTTGTTATTCCCTCTTGAGAGTTACGCCTCAACAACACTTCTACCTCAAAGCCAGGGACCCATCTATGTACCTCGTAACTCACCTTCCTGACTCGGACAAGGGGTACAAGGATGACCTACTCATCTTCAAGGGATCTTGGCAGAGAGGTGTCGGTCCCGAGTATGACGGCTTGTTATGCCCTTTGGAATGGAGAACGACAAGTACGTCGGTTCCTTTGGGTCTATTATTTTGTTTCTGAGATTTTCTACGTGCTCATGACCCACTCCCTCTTTTTGCTTGTGCAGACATCTCCCCTCGGGAAACAGCTCCTCCACCTCGGTCGTTGGTGAACTTTGCGGACCTAGTCACCGTTTGGAGATTCACTGGTGACGACGGGCTCGGCCGGGCTGCCCACATCCTCCTGAATTATACTCCCGGATATAAGAAGTTTTCACAGCTTCCCCAGCCTTTCGATCCTTCGCGGTGGTCTGAACTCTTCGATCAGGCGGTGAGGCAAGAGGTTGAGGAGAACTTGGAAGAAGACCCTGACCGGGCCTCGGAGGCAGAAGTAGAGGGTGAAGTTGAAGAGCTCGGGGTCAGAGAGGACTTGGTTCCTTCGTACGCCGAGGTGGGGACTTCGGGCAGAGACTCGTGGCCGGACTTCCAAATCCTACAATCTCTCGACGCCGAAGACGCCCTCCAGGTAGCCATGTCCAGCACGCCCCGCATTGATCTAGGGTTCCTAAGGCAGAGGCAAGCCCTCGCTGCTGGGAGGGGACGAGGATCTACCGGTGGGGCCCCATCTGCAGGGACCAGCGCCACCCCGTCCTCAAGAATCGTCAGCCGGGGTCAAGTGCGTGACCGGGATCCTCAGGTAGAGGAGGAGAGGAGGATCAAACATAGGCACGACGGCCTTGGCAGGGGATCCAGGGCCCCCTCCGCTCAGCAACAAAGTGGGAGAGGCCGTGGGTTACCTCCTGCTCCTCAGCAACAACAGCAACAGCAGCAACAACAGCAACAACAGACTCCTCCTCCCCTTCCGCAGACAGTGGAAGCCGCGGAGTGGAATCCTCGAGCCACTGATCACATGAACCGAGTGATCAGGGTCGACGACTCCGTTTTGCAGGACCCTCAT